CTGACTGCAAGTGTTGGTTTTAGCCATAGCATTTATATAGAAAATTACTTTTTGTACATAGCAGCTCCATGTAGCTAATAATTTTTTTAAACTACCAATAAAGATACGAGCAAGGCCTCACCTTAATACCAAAAAAAAAAAAAAAGAATACAATTCGTCCTCAGGAATTGTTGATTTTTGTAGTTGGAAAAATGGAAATAATTGATAATGAATTTTTATGTATGTTAGAGATGTTAATTATGTTGATACATGTTTTATTAGCAAAAAAAATTTTTTTAATAGTAATATAACTCGAGATTCTATAGCATCTAAAAGCTCAATTTATTCAAAACTTTTAGTTACTTATAAAATATTGTTAGTAATTCAAAACAAAAGCCTAAAAATGGAGCTTTAACTAGTTCGAACGATTCTATAATTAGTTCTGATTTGAATTCTGCAGATTATTCTCATTTAACAAAACATATACGAACAGATAGTTTTGATGAATTTTTTGATAAAACTTTAATAAATGCTGAATGTGCAGATTTTGGATTCTGTACAGAAGAGTATAATGATTCAACTGAATTTAATTTAGAGAAAATTAAAGGTTCTGTAAAAAATAATGATAAATGCCAAGAAAAACCTTCATATAATAAAGGTAAAGAATGCGTAAAGTGATTTTTATATAGTAATTCTAGTTCATGTAATTTGGATTTAGTTAATATAAAAAAAAAGTTATAAATTTAAATTTTTTATTTTTTTTATTTTTTAATGCTATGCATATTAAGTCTATAAGATGGTTTTTTTGTGAGTTTATTATTCTTGCAAAAATTTTAACTAATATATATTGTATATTAAATATGTTTTGTACTTTGTTCAATGTGGTTTCTAATGTTTAATATTAATTTAACAAATTATTAAACTGATGAAATACAATTAAATTTATTAAATTCATAAAATACAATGAAGTAATAATAGGTTTTAACCAAATAATATTTCTCTATACATGACATTTTGTGTGTAAATGCTTTGTTTTTTATATATTTTACTATCTTTTACCAATAATTTGATATTACAATATGATCATACTCGAGAAAAAGCAACATAAAGCTGACCATGTGTGAATACATGTTTAGATAAATAGAGCTCTATATTTAGAATAGTATGCTCTTGTGATTTATTAATCGTCAAGGTGAAAGCAAGTTTAACTAAAAATTGTTTTTTTCTTAATATAAAAGGAAGTTTGATATTATTTGGAGTAGTAAATATTATTCAGGGAAAAAAAACTCGTTTGCTCTGATAATTACCTGTAGCTATTTCAGTTTCTATGATATTGGTAGTAAACGTTCAATATATTAGTCTGATACCATTGCACAGGCCATTAGACAGGTCTAGATTTCAAAGACATATAATAGGTGCATTAATTTTAAGTTGCAGTTTATACAGAGGAACCTCATTCACAGTTATTGAATTGAGAAATTTTTGTTGATAAAGGTTATGAGTATCATCTGGAACAGAATCAAAACTATGATATATTTTACAGTTTTCTGGTAATTTATCTAACATTATATTATTAACATAATCAACATATTCATTTTTAGTAATAAATATAACCTTGTCAGTAAAGTAAAGCATATCTTTGAATTGTGTTGAAAGATGCAGATATGTTGATTCTATGAGAGTTTGTAAAGACTCTTCATCATGCCATTCAATTATCATACAATTAGAGATTTGGATTATATTATCTTCAATAGTTTGCTCAGTTTCATCTCTGATTCTTAATAAAAAGTTTTTAAATTATTAGCTTCTGGATTATTTTCTACTTTCATATTTTGGTGAAGATGAAAAATTTCTATTGTAAACCACAATGAAGAAGATTTTAAAGTAGTATTTACAATTTGTGCATGACTTTCATATGGAATTACAGGTAAAATCTGGCAGAAGTCTTCACCAAAAACAAATATCTTTCCACCAAATGGTAAATCACATTCTATTAGATCTCTCATAGTTTGATCCAAAGCTTCTATAGAATAATGATTTATTATAGAAATTTCATTACAGATAAATAGTTTAGTTAATTTTAGTAGTTTAGCTAATTAACTTTGTTTACTAATAGAACAGGTTAAATCTGGGCTGATATTTAAAGGGATTTTAAATCTAGTTTGTGTGGTCTGACCCTAGGCATGAGCAGAGCAGCAATACCAGATAAAGCAGTTGCTAGTGCAATAGAGCAGGTTAAACAAATTTTGGTAAGGAAACAATGATAAAGGAAGGTTTTTCTTGAACTTGCAAATCATAAATTAGTTATAAGACAAATAAGTTCAAGTTAACTTTATATGTAAAATATTTATAATATCTTGTTAACTAATATTCTATATTTATAATATTATATTTTTATGTTTTTATGTTTTCAAGATTATTTATATTAATTATAGTAAATTTTGCATAAATATACCTGCAGGTCCATCAACAAAGATAGTGACAGGTTCATTTTGTTCAATACATTCTATAATAGTATCATATACTAATTTTTGGTTTTCATTTAATAGTTTAATTTTTGTTAGATCTTTAATTGTTATTGAAATATTCAATTCATTAAGCAATAATTTTGGTAATTCATTTAAGTCATTATCAGATAAAGTAAGTGGAGGAAGGTCATATTCTTTTAGAGATTTGTTATGATATTTCAGAAGATATTTTATTTGAAGGAGGACCACATTTACCAGAGATAATTATTTGGAATTCCTTTTTTTGCAAAATCTTCTGACATAGCTACGAAGTTATCATTCCATAGAAATTGAATATTACTTGGTTCTCTGAATAGTAATATAATAGAAATAGCTATCACAGTTTGAAAAGCATTTGAAATTAAGCAGCTTATGCATAGTTTCATGATATATTGATTCCATTTCTATAAATCTTTGTCTTATTGCACTTTCTTTAAATATTGAACAAATATAATTATTATTATTAATTAATTTTAAATTTTTGAATAACATGGCTCCTTTAACATTATTTAAAAGTATACACAAATAATAATGTTCTTCTTCATTTGGATTAACTGTATACATTTTTCCTATCACATCTTTTTGATAATATTTTGTTTATTACTTGGTTATTTTGTTCCAGATGTAATACCTTGGGAATTCATGATACAGATAATTGCGAGCATGTGGGTCAGCTTCATTTATTTTGAAATATTTGATTAGCATAGTTTTTTTATCATTAAGAACATTATTCAAGTCTGATGTCTTGTTAAATATAACATTTTGCTGATTTGGAAGATGAACTTGTAAGCATAATACTGATAGTTTAATATTCAAAAGTTCAAATCTAAAGATTCTCCAACATGCTTCTGAGGAAGAGACCTATCAAGTATCCAAGTATTGATTGATTTCATCATTATTAATTACTTGTAAAGCTGCATGATTATGACCTTTATACACATATTTATATAAATATTTGATGGATTTAATGCTTAAGCACACTTCAATGTTAATATAGCAATTGTATTTAAAGGAAAGGTAAAGGTTATTGGAATAACCCAGCGATTATCTAACTCTGCTCCTCTTATTAATATCTGTTTTCTATCTTCATGCCATTAGTACAATGGATATGAATCATTATCTTTTCTTGTTTCTGAAATAAATTTCTTCAGATAATGTTTAGTAAAATATTTTCTTTCATACATAGTGCATTTTTATTAAAGGGTCCACATGGCCTATGAATTATAAAAGTAATAATAGTTTGGTATAGTCTGGGTTGTTCTACTGGATCAGGTATCTCTGCTAAAACAATAGTATCATAGTTGTTAGCACTATAAAGTTTATCATTAGGATGAAATATTAGTAATAAATGTGTGTAGAAAGACCATGTTTTTGAAATTCTATTACATAAATATATGTGATTACTTGAGCAAGAACATTTCTATTAAAAAAGTCTTTTTTCAATTCTTCTAATTTTGCATGAAAAACTTAAGCTACAAAAATAAATAATTATTATAAAATTTACTTTTGAAGCAATAATAGTTATAAATTTTACTATGAAAATAATAACTATCTATAAAATTATAAAGATTTATTGTCAAAGTAAATAAAATTTATTATAAAAGTAATCTATATTAAATTTACTATAAAATTTACTATAGTCAAATATATTATAATAATGAATTACAATTTTATCTATAAGCTCTGGCCTGTCTTGTGGAGTCTGCATAGGTAATAGTTCTGATGTAATCTCAGACCATCTGGAATTACACATGATAGTGATAAATAAATCCAGTTTACCATATGTTTGAACTAATACTATTGTGTCTTAATATCTCTGATACATATTGTGAGGTCCCCCTATAAAAGTTGAAGGTAAAACAATATGTTGTCCAAGATCAGATGCATTGGCTATTTCTGACTGAAAAGAGTCTTGCAATCTTTGATAAAGTTCTTTACGAATTTTATCTTGACTATAGCATAAGTAATTAAGGCATGCAGATTCGATTTTAACATAATTGTTAACAACATATTGTTGAAAAAGTCTACCATCATAAAATAGTAATTCTAAAAAAAGTTTTTTGAAATGTAATTTGTAAGAATAATATTGCTTAGCTGTGACTTTTTTTAAAGATGTGCTTTGCGATATTTCAAGATGCCAACTATAATCACCTCAAGAAAAAAGTAGATACTGCATCAGATCATATGAACCACTTAGTTCAGATACTTTTTGTAAACCTTGTAACTGAGAATATACGATTATATCATGTTTAGTATGATCTGTAGAACTACAACCTTCTACTCATATTGCAGCAACTTGTGAAGCTGTAGGCATATTATAAGTATACTGGTCTAAGCTGTAGTTGGCTCTGATGCAAAGGCAAAAATCATTTATATTGCTATTGCATAAAATTGAATGAAAATTGGCTACAAAAGGATTTAATTTATTTAGTAATGCTTTAATGTATTCTAAAGTATCCCAGCAAAGTTGAGGCATAACAGTAAGTCTATTGGTTGTTTCATATTCAGTATTAAATATGTATAATTGAAAAAATTTCAGAACTCCATCAACCAGAATAAGTGACCCAATGGAGTAATAAATTCTGTCTTGTACTTTGAATATATAAATGCTATTTCTACCTATTTAGAAATTAATATGCAATTAATTAAAATTATCTTGCAGAATTTCTTACTATTCACAAGATTTTCATCCAATCTAACTTCCATAGATGTAAATGCAAAGGCACTATTATAGGCTCTAATATTATTACAAAATTCCTTTCTTATATTTTCATTCCTGACAAATAAATTTCTTAAAGCTATTGTATCATCTGCCAAAGTTAATCTACTATTAATAAATATAGAGTCAATATTTAATAACAGGTAAATTTTGTTATTTGTTCGAAGATTTACCTAATCTTTTCTAATCCACAACATGTTCCTTGATTTTCAGTAGGAAAAAGTCCAGCATGACAATAAGTACATATACATATAGTATCAAAAACTTAATAAATAGATAGAATCATTTCACAATAACAATATCACATTTTATAGTATTGCTTTTTTCCCACCAGAAGATACAATCTTCTGGACCTCTGGATCTGAGAAGTATTTGCAAATCATCATTCTTCAGTAGATCTTGGACAAAGAGTATGTAAAGGTGACATTTATAAAGCAAGTTTAACAAAAAACCCACAAAAATGAAACTTAGACAATAATATTTTTCTTTTTGTTATATTTTAGCAAAACTTTTTTTTCAATCCAAATTATATCCAAATTATAGTATATAGTATAATAGTATATAATAGTATATTATAGTATATAATAGTATATAATGAGATAAAATTAAGATAAACCTTTAAATTTTGATATTTATTATTTTTCATCATTTTTATATTCATGTTATAACTATAATTAACTTTTGTATAATAATATATCACTGAACATTTTAAAACTTTAGTTTAAATCTTAAATATATTTTTATTAATATCAATTCATATTATAACTACAATTAATTTTAGCAATACGAATATTAATATAATAGATAATTTTTATTATTTATAATATAAGAAATATTTTTTGCTATCATTATTATGATATAATCATATTTGTGTATATCTTTTTATATATACTTGTTTAACTAAATAAGAAGCAGCTTATTTCCTGGTTACATCATACCCCTGATTATATAATTATTTGTACATAATCATGATATAACTATATTTGTGTATATCTTATAGATATTTGTTTAACCAAATAAGAAACTAGCTTATTTCCTAGTTTTGTTATTCATTATTTTGCATAACAAATATCGTAACTTATATTAATTTTGATCATTATATCTCTAATTATGTAATTATTTGTTTGATGATCTGAATATATTAATTATGATATTCTCGATATTAATTATGATATTCTTGATATTAATTATGACATTCTTGATATCAATTAATTATGATATTTCTTGATATTTATTACAACATTCTTGATATTAATTAATTATGATATTTCTTGATATTTATTATGACATTCTTGATACTAATTATAATATTTCTTGATATTAATTACAATCAATTAATTATGATATTTCTTGATATTTATTATGACATTCTTGATATTAATTAATTACAATATTTTTTGATATTTATTATAACATTCTTAATATTAATTAATTATGATATTTTTTGATATTTATTATGACATTCTTGATATTAATTAATTATGATATTTCTTGATATTTATTATGACATTTTTGATCTATTAATTAATTACAATATTTCTTGATATTTCTTGATATTAATTATAATATTTCTTGATATTAATTATGATTCAAATTCGGATATGACTAATCAAAAACATTAAGGTGTACAAACTTTGAATTAAATAATATAGATATAGTATAAATTATCTTTAATGTTAATGGTGCAATATTACTATATTTCTATATTCAAATACAATTAATTTTTTATTTTCAAAATTCAATATTTTAAAGTCAAAACTTTATATCATTATAAAATTGCAATTAATTGCAATTAATTTTAATATAATTGTTGTTTATAACAATTTTACTTGATTATAATTGCATAACAATTGAATTGCAATTAAATTTTCAGTACCTTTGTCTATGATTACTTGTTTTTGTAACAAATATCACACTAAATTTATCTTAACTACTAACACTAACCATATTTAAGCTAATAAATTCACTACAGTTCATATTAACAATAATGTAATAAAGAATCTTAACAAATCAGTCTAACAACTTCTAACTAATCTTTTCTCTTCAATCAACTATATTTCTTTATCTTCTACTTCTAATATACATTATCATACCTGTTCTAAATGCTCTTTTCCAATTGGTTGTACCAAGAGAAATGATCATCATTACTCTAATGAAAAATATGTCACTAAAAACAATAAAGTCTACCATTTTATCTGCATAACTGCCTTATCTTAACATAAAACTAGCTCATCTTAAACTAAAAAAATTCTACTTAAACATTTCAAACATCCTATATGAATTTTCTCAAACTACCAATTCTTTTACTATCACTTTTTACCAAACCTTAACTTCTTCTAACCTTATTAATTTCTTCTTTATTACAACTACCAATATTAACTCTATCTCTAACCAACTCCTTAGTACTAACATTTCTAATAATACTAACTTAAATTTTAATAATCTTATAATACTAACCCATCTGATAGTACTTCTAACAAACCTTTTTTCAAATCTATTCTAGTGTTGCTAAACCAAAATCTAATTCTCTATATGACTGGCTTGCAAATTTTTTAATTGCTAAAGAAATGCAACTAAACAAAAAATTTTAAATTATTTTTTCTCTTTAACTCTTTATTTTGCTTAAAAAATTTCTTTATGATTTTTATTTTGATAAAGAAATCAAGTCTGCTACCTCTATTCAACTTGCACTTAAGTCCTTATTTTATTATATTATCTGTATTATGGCTAGGCAATGATCAGAATTCTTAATTGACCTTATTTATAGTAGCAATCCTAATATTGACAAAAGTACTACTACCTCTTTTAATTTTCTTGAATCTATTCTCAAAAATCTACTTTTTAAATTTACAACTGTCCTTTTTATAAAATTTAAATATTTTGAAATCTTTACATTACCAGTTATTATTTCTCTATATACTGCTTACAACTGTTTCCAACTTTGCCTCAATTTTGCATGACTTCATCTCTTCTTATCCAATAACTATCAATTAATTAACTACCAAAAATTTGCTAAAGATTTATAGCTCAGACCTAAAAGATTCAAAATTGAATCTTTTATTTAAACTACTGACCTTAATTAAAAATACCTTACCATTCAGTCAGATGCTAGATTCAATATTAAACTTTTTTTTAATATTCCTAAAATACTATTTCTTGAAAGATTTTGTATTTTCTTACTTAAAAACTTACTTGATCATTTTAATTCTTAGTTTGAAACTTACTTTTTTTCTTACAGTTGATAATTCTCTTCTAGTATTAACAAAAAAAAAGTTTATACATCTCTTAGAATCCAATTTCACCAATACTTCATCTTACAATTTTCTAAACACCTTTCTAAATCTTATATTTTTAAAAAACCTAATTCTCTTTATGAATAATATAAAGGAGCATCCTATGTTGCTAACTTTTATTGTCTTACTTGTGATAAAAATTATGTTCATACCCTAATGATAAAAAATTTCATAACAGTACCAAACTCTTTAATGACATATTAAGCAAATCTCATTTAACATTCCCTCTTTAAGATAATGAAATATAAATTCATTCAACCTATAACACTACACTATTTTACAAAAACAAAGAACATGCTGTCTTACTTGACCAACTCATTTCTACCAAAGCTCTTGACAAACTAGCAGACCAAGCTAAAGATTTTGTTTGTAAACAAAACAAAGTCAAAACAAATCCTAAACATCTCAACTACTATTTTTACTGTTAACTCTCTCTATACTACCAAACTGCTGCAGAAAATCACAATATACATTCTTTTTTTAAGAAGAAGGCAATCAATTTACTAACTAAATACATTATTAATACTAACTTTTTTGTCCAAATTATAACTACTTTGATGTTGCCAAAAATTAAAAATTAACTTATTTATATATTGTTAAATACTTCAATAATACTGCTTATCTAGTAGCTAAAAACTTTTTAGTAAAAAAATTCAATCTGAACTTCCAACCTGTTTTCATTCTTGACTTATTTTTTTTACAATCTTTTTTTTAAGTTTCTTGTCTTTTATAACATACATTAAAGCAACTACTACCTTATTAAAAAATACAACTATTGTAGTTAATAAGAAGAATAATATAAATAGACAGATGAACAAGCCATTTATATAAAAGACTATGTTAATAACAGTTAGATCCAATATACAAAACAGACTATAGTACCTTGCACAACTGTGAGAACCAAGCATATAGTAATCAAATCTGTAGAAGACAATTTTGAAAGATTATTTACATTATCTTTAATCCTTTATGATCTTCACAAATGCTTTAACAAATTTCTTTTTTATTACAATTTATCTTCATGATCAAACTATTTAAACTTTAATTCAACATATTAACAAATATAATAACAATAAAACTGTATCTAGTATTACATTTTTTGTTAATTCATCTTATAATGAAACCCATATATATCTTTCTAATAACACTCTTTTATCAGATCATATTATTATTGCTCTACATCTTTTTTCACTATTCTATAACCTCTCTTTCAAATTTAATTCTTTTAGTTTTACTCTTATTTTATCTTATTCTTTTTCTAACAATTATTACTCAACTTTTATTTAATATAATTCTGTTTTACACTTTTCTGGCTTATGTTCTCATCATCTTAACCTAACTATTGCTATACACAATATTAGAGACTTTAATGATCTAACAAAAAGAGAAGACTGCCAAAATTACTGTCTTAATATAACATATCTATTACTAGTATTACTAAAACAAAATTTCTGACAAAGCTAACCTTTTCTTTTGTAACAATAATTTTTTCACTTACTACTAGTCTAACTATTCTATAAAAGGGACAGCTATCATGATTTGTAATCATCAAATTTTGCATTTACAATATTTATACTTAACTAGAAAAAACTATTACACTTGATATGTTTTTTGAAACAATGTCAAACTTTATATTATCTTAGTATATCTCTTATCTACTGATATAGTTATTAATAACCAAATCCAAAACACAGTAATCAACTAGATTCAACAAGCTTCTCAGCTCCATTTTCATTCTATTATCCTTGGTGATTTTAATATATAGAATTATATTTATAGTTCCTCTTTCAAATATAAACTTATTAATTTTCTTAATTATTCCAATATGTATAACATTGGAACTCATTTCAACAACAACATTTTACTTGGTCAAACAATACTAGTAGTAGTCATATTATCTACATCTGAACTGACCAATTTAACTTATAATTTTTTCTTTTCTACAGTCTTAAAAACAGTCAAACCTCTATCTTAAATAACAACTTAATTTCTACCTCTACTTGGACATTTCTACATGTCTATAGTAAACTCTTATAGAAACATACTGAAATCAGTTATCATATATTCAATTATAAAACAATGACTACAGA